GAGACCTTATGCTCGGGACCGGACACGAGAGATGTATAAATACTCCCTCTTACTCTCTTGGTTTCTTTTCTTCTACAACTACCACCTTCCTCCTTCTTACACCAAAAAATGAACCTGAAGAGTTCATGTTGGCTCCTGCTCCTCTCTTCCAAAAAGACAATTCAACAATGAACATGTGCGCTTTCGCTGCCTTCTTCCCCATTATCGACGATCAAAAAACGACTCGAACTCATATATGGAGGCCCTGAGCCTTATTTAAATGGCCTGTCAAAGGTGCCATGGAGAGCGCGGGCTTTTGCCCTGCGCATACAACATACCTAGGTAGCCACCAAACCAGTCATGGAGATGCTGGCGATGGCGTATAAAACTGTCCTCTGCGTCTTCCTTCTACTTCTTTATCGCCACACCTCCTGTGTGCTTTCTACCAAAATATCTGCAATGGCGACACATGGAAGTTGGAGTCTGGCTGTTTCGCAGTACAAAAATACTTCCCTCGATTCCCATCTTATGTCAGCAACTCCGCGACCTCGTTGCATTTTACCAAAAAGCCAAGTCGCTTTCCTCTATGTTCGTTCTCGGCCTCCTCCCTCTTTTACTCAAAATTCGATGGTTAAGTTTGATGACTGAGTGTGCTGTCGTCGTCCTACTTCTACCTTCTCCCCACAACAAAACAAAGCAATGCCGCCTAAATTTTGGATGTTTTGAGGCTCGAAAATAGATGATGGTACAAGCAATGGTGTGAGCTGTGCTGAGTAGCAAAACTTCTGAAAAGTCCATGACGTCGTTCACATGGCTGGGAGAAGACGAGATGGAGATGAGATATAAAAGCTTCTCTTCTTCCTCTCTTCTGCTTGCTTCCTATACACCACTCCTTCCGGGGTTTTACCAAAAATTAGCTATTTCGAATCCATGGCTGTTCTGAGTTTCTTCCTCCTAAAATTGCTGTCAAGCATGGCATGTCTGCGGCTCTCGGTCTGTCGCTGTTACTCCAATATTCAAAAACTCACGACAACGAAGCCATGCTCTGGAGAGCAGCTCTGGCGCAGAACCATGGATTCTCCTCAAAGTACCATCGCTATCAAAAACGAAAGTGCACAAGCCCATGGTCGAGAGCAGAGGATCTGGTATCTCGCCATCGCAGCTATAAAATCTCCTCGATCCCGCAATTCTGGCCTTCTTCATTACCACCTCACTTCCACTGCCTTTCTCCAAAAACAACATGCCACGTTTGGGATGGCTCTTCTCCCGACCAGAAAACGCTCAAATCCCGCACGATGAGCTGTCCTTCCTTTCCGCCTTTCCAAAACACACAGTTCGAGGCAGCATGTCGGAGTGTTCGTGGGAACAACCAAAGAAACAATACGATTTGGCTCATGAGAAGCGCCTGTCGACAAAACCCGTAGTGGCCAACCCATGTGGGTCCCCGGGACTAGAGACAGTGGTATAAAGCCTTCTCTCGTTGGCTTGGGGATTGGCTTTCTATATCACACTCTTTCTGCGGTTTTCCAAAACGTTAATCGTTCCCATGCATGTGCTGTCCGCTCTTCTTCTCAAAAAAGCTCTAGCCATGACGAATGTCTGTTCGGTCCTCTCCTCGGGCGATCGCTCCAAAATTGGCTTTCTGGCAGCTTCATCATACTCAAAATCGACGGGACAGCTCGTCATGTGGAGTTTGCTTCTCAAAACAATCTCAGGAAATGGCTATGATCTCGCGGGCCGAGGTCTGCCGCATTCATGCCTCAGAAGCTTGGTATAAAAGATCTTCTGCCATTGCACCTTCCTGGCCTTCTTTACATACCAATTCCTTCATTTTTCTTTACCAAAATCACGAGAATTGGCACGCATGGACGTTTGTCCGCTTTTTAAAACGTTGATTTTTTCCGTTTATGTCCTCTCTTCTTCCCTTGTCGCCAAATACATTGGAGCCATGATGAAGGAGAACCAGGACCAGTTCCGAAAGACGATTGTGGGGTGCTGATGAGCAGTGTGCCTCTGAACATCATACAAACCAGCTTCATGAGTTCTGGGGTACGGTGGATCGCATATAAAAGCCTCTGCGCGTCCTCTACTTGTTCTTCTCCTACACCAAAATACTTCCCATTATTTACCAAAACTGGAAAAGAACGACAAGATGGTTCGGCTCTTCCGTGGAAGACTCCCACACATTCTCCTGACCTTTTGTTCTCATATCAGAATTCATCCTCTACTTCTGTTTCGAAAGAACATTTGTGACAGCATATGACGACTGCTGGTCTTGTGCATCGAAATTTGCCAGGACGCCGGAAATAGTCCGCGCGTTTCGATCTCATGAAAGTCTCATCATGCGATTTTGGAATGTTCCAGCGATCACAACTATGACCAGCGCGAGCGCCGCATGCATAAAAGCTCCTCCCTCGCTGATAGCTTTCTTTATTTTATATCCCCATCTCTTGTTATCTTTTCCAAAAGTGTAAAGTTCGCTCATGATGGTCTCTCTGGCTCTTTCTCTAAAAAAACCATTCGACAAGCTCCCATGTGTGCTTTGGCTGCTTGTCCTCTATTCTTCTAAAAAGGCCAACGTTCGCCGGCATGAGCGGAAAAAGTCATACTTCACCAAAACATCTATCGAGAACGAGTTTTCAAAAACAAAACTCACGATGGCATGACTTGCGGCAGGCATCGACGATAAACAATGGATCTAGAAAGCCATGGCCCTCTGCTTCCCTGTCGGACTTTATCATTGAGAATGTGAAAGCTCAAAAACAAAATGATCGAGCACATGACTGGTGCAGCACTATCACCTCAAAATCCCACACAAAGATCGCATGCGCGCTCCTGCTGCGACCTCAAACAACTTCGCATAGATATCATGAGCTTGGGCGCCGAAAGCTGTGTCAGCGAAGCGAAATGCCTGCAAAACGATATGTACGCCTTTAGATGTCGCGGCCAGACGTTTCGAAAGGCAGCTGTGTTTAGTTGATGTGGTAGAGTTCCCTTGTTGGGGATATAAAAGGCCGGCTGGCCTGGTTCTTGTTTCTTATTATCATCCACTGTAATCGGATGTTTCCAAAAAAGCCTAATACGTGCACTCGTTGACGGTTGAACATCTCTCCAAAAGTTTCAGGGCATCGACATATGTGCGCCTGTCGCTCGCGTCTTCCCAGTTGATGAAGCCAGAAGGGTTGAGGCGAGCGCTGTGAACAATGAACCTTGTCGAGTGTGGCTCTTCAAAAAAGACGTCGCAACGATGGATGTTCGAGAGACAACGTACCTTATCGTGAGGTTTCTATCGGGTGGCTTACCGGCTTTTGCGTGACTGGAAATCTGCTGATGCACTGGAAAGCGTGGAGTCAGTTCCCAAACTACGAGGCCGTCGAAAGTCATGCTGGTGAAAGCAGAACTGCCATGTGTTCGTCGACAGGCATCGGCTGCAAGGCTGAAGCGTGCATGCGAGATGGAGTAGCCTCATTGGACGCCATGACGCAGTCGCTGCTTACTTCAGCGGAGGGGTGAGCTGAAGATTTTTCGTTGCGCAACGTCAGACTTGATCATCATACCCCCCTTCCTCTACTATCTCTATCGTGATATTAGTTCAAATTTCTAAGTCAAAAGCCTGACGAAGACGGCCGCCCCCTCGCCAATTGACACCCCCTCAAATTAGCGCCTGATTCGGCACGCTTGTCCTCGCGCCATTCCTGATGGGGGATAGCCCACTTTCCATTGCCGCCAGCATCGCCGGCCTCCTCACCTTCGCGGTGGCCATCTTGGCGTCTATCTACGTCCGTTATGTGTCTTTGCGCAATGGTCGAGTTGAATTGGAAGGGATTTTAGAGTCTTCCAAAGAGAACGTCGTGGACCTGGGGCTGACGAAAACCGAAAACCCAGACCCAATCCTCCGAGAAAGATGGGAGCACTTAGCCATCCATGAAAGCGACAAACCTGATGTTGTTCGTTTGAAGACCTTGAATGTCTTGTTGATTGCCACAGATATGATTATATACACTTACTGTGTGCGCACTCTAAACGACGATATGGAAGAGTTCCTTCGGAACCGATTAGATTCATTCGTGAAGGCTCGTAACGGCAACACCCGTGCCACTATGAAAGACCTTTTGGAGCTCCAGGATAAAATTAGGAGAATGTTATGGCGGAGGAGTCCCATGGAAAGAGCACTCGGTTTATATGCGTTTTTCCTCCCCAATAATTGGGTAGAACGACCACAAAAGATATTGAAGAGAATCTTGCAAAGGATATTGTCAGCGGGCTCACACCCCAATTCAGTACGCTGGTATCGAGTGCGAGAGACGGTTCTGGGAATGGTGCAACAGAGAGACATCTTGCGATCACGAATACTGTCTCTCCAGGTATCGATGATAAATTCGTAAGTGTAGTGGCGACTCTAAGCTACCCGGCTAATAAGTGCATAGATCAGCTGGGAGAAGTGACATAGCATTAGAAAGGCTTGAAAAGCAACAGGCGGAACTCAAGATCAGATTGGAAGAGCTTACTAGGCTGGTGACTACAGCGTGTCATGCGCCAGCGCGACCGGCGAGCGATGATACTAGTGGTATACCAGAAGAGACGCATACACAGGTGTCGCCAGGTCAACAAGAAGACGTCAAGCGGCATGTAGGCGCCGAGGGGTCAGAACTTGAGACAACGGATTGTTGCGCATAGCGATAGCTCGCGCAATATCATTCTCCCTAGAGGATCTTACAATGCAGGTCGTCAACATAATGACTACGTTCATCATCGCCTGTTAGCTCAGGCAAATCGCCCGTCAGCCGACCGCTCAATCAACAAAATGCCCTTACCTTGCGCATAATCGCGAAGACCCCGCACAAACTCCAAAAATCGATCCGTGACAAGATACCTACTTCCATCCTCACCCACCGTAATCTGCGTAAGATGAGCGTCAAGTACCTCTTTAGTACACCTATCCGTTATATCAAAAGCTTCTTTGATATCGCTTTCCTCCTGCCCCCGAATCCGATGACCTCTAATCACGATCCGAAAATCCATTACCATACTTTCTGTGTCTAGATACCGCAGCATGCTGCACACAGTCGCAAATACCAACAATCGCGCTACCAAGGGGATAGATCGATCGTCTCCTCGACGGGGATTGTCCCAGATGGATAGACCGTATGGACCGTTCAGGCTCAAATCGACGCCAGCTCTTCGCATGAGCTCCACGCTTCCCATACTTGGACGGTAGTCTTCGCTGTCTGGATCTTCGGGACGATCTTCTAATGTGATCATACGCAGGTTCGGCAGTTTTTGGACGATGATGTTTTGCAGCCAGATGCGCAAGTCGACGGCCTTGCCCTCGTTGGCTATCATAGCACGCAGCGCACGGGGATAGGACGTCAATGCGTGTTCGTATTGTTCAAGTGTTTCGGTGCCGATGATCATATGCTTGATCTCGTTGGAGATATCAGGCGATGCCGCTGCGTCACTCAGTGCTTGTATGCTGATGCGGATTAGAGATACCTTCACGGTTTGGAAACGAAGACAGAAGCTTCGCCACGTCTTCGTGTGAAGCTCTTTATTGACGAGGCGGAGAAGGCCTATGGCTCCTGCCCTGAGAAACGAACCGATGAGCGTGATCAATTCGGTAGGTAGACTTAGTAAGTTGGGCATACTGGGGCGGTTTGACTCATGCCTGGAGCTCTTGGAGTGTCACCCCATATACCTTGTTCAGAGTTTGCTGCTCTCCATCATCTGATCACAGAACTGTTGTCGATTGGAGAATGATACGTGAAACAAGCATCATAAGATCTATCTCATCGATCTAGTCTAACCTCCTCCCCACCTCATCTCTTAGCAACGATAGTACACGGCTCCGTCATGTACCAAGTTCGTAGCTTCGGCTCACCCAAAACATTGCCACCCTGCAGCAGCATTTGATCATCGCTCTTCTTATCATCTTCGTTTTCACCCGCCACTCTGATGAACTCCGCTTCGTCAACCGTTGCGCCGACTTCGTATGTACCACCGCATAATGCCACGATACCAAGCTCAGACTCCACCGTCTCTCCAGGCTGTATGACCGGTAACTTGCGCTGCAGAACGCCTGTCCATGAGAAGCGTTTGTCTAGATCCAAAGCGACGTTGTGGGGGAGACCGGCGACATGAGGTTGTAGTCTGAGTATCGGTGAGATGGGACGTGGACTTCGGTTGCGAACGAACGTCTTCATGGTGAGGAACTCGTCTATCGGTACATCAAACTTTGCGCGACCGACTTGTCGCACAACTTCTCCGTCGCCCGCGGCAGGGTAGTCGGAGGCGATGGTCGTTTTGATGGCGAGATCGTCAAGCTTGATGGCCTCGACCATGCGCGGCGTGAAGCGGATGCTGCGTAATTCGAGCTCGCCGTGACGTCCATTACCATCCTCCGTCCACGTTCCGCGCACGATCTTGAGTAGCTCTTCGCGGTACCAAAAAGCTTCTCGGCTCGCTCGCTCGGTCTCGGGAGAGATCTTGCTCGTGCTGACGACGAATTGGCGTTGGTTGGCGGGATTGAGCGATGGTACAGCCGCATGTGGCGCTTTCAGATAGACCTTTGGGAGAATCATGACGACCCTGCTGACATGCCCCGGTTGTATGACTTCGTTCACACTATGCGCTTCGTTCCAGGAGTCGTTGGTGTAATTGCCATCAGCCACAGGCTTCCGGGCTTGGAGCAATATCGAGAGCGGGTTTGGCCAGGAGTTCCTAAGATCTAATAGAAGCATGCAGTACTCTTCGTCGCTATCATCACTCCGCCTTTGACTAATGAAAGACCGAAGATGACCATCGGCTTTGCCAGACGACCGTGATTGCAAGGCCTCGTCATCTGAATGAGTGCGCGAGCCTGAGGATGCATCGCTAGACCACGCAATATCTCCGGATAAGGGTACTATGTCCGGCCGCTGAAGCTGCACACTTGCATTCACAGTGATTGAGATGGGCGCAGAGACCTGACGGGTGAAGAAGTGCTCCTCTACTTCTGATCTTCGCTTTCCAAGGTTGGCATAGTCGATTTGTATAGTCGCATCTGTCAGTCTTGTGCGACCGATAACCTCGATGGTGAATTGCGCTTCAGCGCCAGGCTTGATGCTCGGTGATTCCTCGGCCTCATCCTTGCACCAGCGCAAGGACGGATGATGGGCGAGCTGGACTTCCAACTCATGCAATTCGGCTGCAGGCAAGTCTTTGTTGGAAGTCGCCATCTGTATCGCAGTGGTCGCCGTATCCTGGAAGGAGATGTGGACAAAGTCGACAGTTGTTTCGGTCGAAGTATTCTTCACTGTAACAGTAAACCGTTTCCTTTCGCCTTCAAGCACCATGACGGCCGACTGCGGTAACGAAACATTGGTGATTATAATGACAGGCTGGTCTGGGATTACCGAAAACGTCAGAGACTCCGGCTTTGGCTGAGAAGTTGCTCTACTGTCGATGGATGGTGCGATTGCCGAGGAGGGCCGGGATGTCGGTGCCCCTAAACATGCCTTGAGGCCCATGCGCTTCATTTTAGCTTCTCTCTTCGGCTTCCATGGCTCTGGGAATATGGGGAACAGCCGCTCTCTGCAGCCGATAAGCTTGACGTAGCATCCAATGATCTTCAACGACCCTGATGTCCGCGCAGTCCCTGTGATCTGAAACTTCTGAGTCCTGTAAGGGCCCAGTAGGAAGTGTTCCTCCAGCGCGACAAACTCAACACCTTCAGCAGCTATCTTCAACGACTCTACGCCAAGCTCAAACTCATATGGATTCTGCATGGCTATGACGAAGCGATAGTGCTCATTCGCAACCAGGACTGTATTTGCAGCATTCGTTTGCGGCTTCTTCATCCAGGCATTGTGAAGAAAAGGGCCGTCTTTTCCTTGGCTGTCCGACTTCAACTCGATCCCCTGTCTTTGAGTTAAGCGGAGAGGTTCCATTTCCTCGAGAATGAACAACCCGCGCACGAGGAAGTCATCCCAGTATTCTGTTTCTACATGTTGTAGTCCAAGCTTCTTAGCGGCAGTGACGGTTCTCGATATGTTGGAGTAGAGTCGGATCTGCTCATCTCGGGGAAGAGAGACGAACACGTCGGTGCTATTAGGTCTCGGTGCTGTTCCGGGACCCGCCACCCGAAGCAAGAGAGCAGTGAAATGGAGGACGCCGTTGAAGTCTGGTAATGCTTCGCAGAAACTCAGGCACGTTCGTAATATCTCTAGCTTGAGACTCAAACTTCCGAAAGAGCGCAAAGACGATATTGCCAGTATGGTGTCGACGACGCGCTGACTAGCAATACTGTCCGATGCACTTTCCGCGTTCTCATCTCTCTGACTGGGCATCCCAATATTGGGCATGTTTCCTTTCGAATTCGGTATCCCGTATATCCGGCCTAGCAAGCCTAGGAATTCCTCAATCCCATTCTCGACTTCGCCTTCGCCTAGATTGAGAGCACCACTCCCGGAGCTACCGCCGCTTGCGATGTTGAGAGCCGCAAGGCCAGCAGCTGGATGCACTCCCATCTCTGCTGCACCAACCTTGCGGGCCTGGATTAAGCCAGGAACCAAGGATGTGATAAACTCCTTCATGACGATGGCTTTCTTGCGTTGTAACCCTAAGGACGATAAGATCGAGGCAACACCAGCAAGCACTACGACGCGGTCTGTGGGGTTCATGCCCGAGCTCTCCGCTGGTCCAGGTAATGCACGAAATAGCATAGACGCTATATCATTGCGCGTAGGGTGTACACTAAGCCGCGGTACCGAAAGGCGTGGCTTTTGCTTGTATGGCGTATTCTGCACAAGCTGGCGCAATGCGTCATCATCTAGAAAGCCTCCGGATAAGTTGATAGCGGCCAGCAACTTGGAGAAGCGTATTACACATTCTGAAAACGCGAGCGGCGGCAAAGATTCGCCAGCGAAATTGGCCGCACGGGTATATAGATTCAGTATCATGTTGACCATGTCTGGAAGCAGCGAGTTTAGGGCGTCCAGTGAGTTGTCATGTTTGTGGGGTTTGGCGGGAGTCGACACGTCCGAGACACTGCTTGACGGTGTGTGAGTGGGTGACTTATTCCCTCCAGACTTATCGGATGTCGGATAGCAGATTGGAGGTATCTTGATGGTCAGTAAGATGATCAAACTGACATCATGTAAGAGTTGGACTAACCTGGAAGTCCATGCCTGACCATGCAAAGAGGAGCATACAGACCATAATGTGTTCGAGAGCTTTAGCATGCCACAAATGGTCACTTAGAGCACGTGCTCTTGTCGCGGCTTCTGTGAGCTCTCGTACAGCCTCGACCCACTGGCCTGCGCACATGTACAAGGTACCGATCACGATCCCAATACGACCGCGTCCCTTGTTTCGAGCTCTTTCACCGACCCCGCCGGAACCAAAACCTGTAATCGACACGCGGTCCGCTGCGTTCTTGGTTGCGGAGCTAGGCCTGGCGGGATTGCTGTTTGTTTGGTGAAGCGTATTGGCAGCATTGATACCGGAAATTTCGTCAAAGGTTGTCGGGGGTGTGCGTGTACCTTGTGCGCTCAATGAAGCGGTCCTAGGGTCTTCGGTAGACAGGGGTCCTCCGGAACTTGATGGTAAGACAGGCATTGACGCGCGGTGACCGTCCTTCAGCGCATTTCCTACAGGTGACTCCGGTCTACTCCCACTTGGTGTTTGCGAGTTGCGACGCGAGAATTGCGAAGTAGAGTCAGATGCGGCCCAGCTTGGCGTGAGCTCCGCTGTGCCATTTTGAGAAGCGGGCGAAACTAAGGTAGGAAGTGCCTGTATGGACTTTGCCAGAGTGGTCATCTCCGCTAGCAAGGTTGCAGTCAGATCGCACATGAAAGTTTTCATCGTCGTGGTCTTTAGCTGTGATCTTGGTGGGATCAAGAGTGTCTCTTGTGGTAGGCGCGGATGTCGTGATGAAGTTGCTGAATCGAACAGCATGATGCTGTGGAGATACGCCCGAGGAAACTGTTCTCTGAGATCGTCGATCCCGAATTGGATAGCATTGGCTTCATCATCGCCGGCTGGGGGTTCTTCAAATGTCGTGCTCGGGGTTCCGCCAGTCCCACGTGATGGCTGCAGCCAGGCATATTCGGACGCGTCTCCGATTCCGATGACCAGTAGAGGCTCTCTGAACTGTTCGAAAGGTGACAGTGATAGATGAGATGCTGATGGCATAGAAGTCGATAAGTCATAAAGTAAAGTTCCGTCAGGCCATGCTAAAGGAGAGAACATATCTATCGTTGCCAAGATCAGCAAACATCATAGCTGATTTGGCACATGAGGGCTCATACTCCGGTCAGGTCGCGGATCAGGGCTGATATCGCCCAGTCGAACCAGCGACTCTTGCTGCAAGAGGTCGACAAAGGCTATGAAGCGCGAACGCTTGATGCGACCCACGGGGAGAAGCAAGGCCCTAATGCGCGCAGGCGCGATCGGGGACAGAGGGTCGACTGCCATCGCAACATCTGGAAGCTGAAGACCTAGTGGCCAAAAACAATATGCTTGATCAAGAAGATGACGCTGTGCTGGCGGGTGCTTGCATGATGCGTCGAATATTCGGACGGTGAAACGGTTGGCGATCCTCAAAGCTTCGGCCTCGTGGCGGTGGCCCGAACGAAGAAGGCTAAGCCGCTTTCGGTCTTGGCCCC